TTTCCCTAAATTTAAAGAAACATCACATTATAATACTTGTTAGTAACAAAGTGAGATCAGTGTCTCTCTACCTATGTTTTCTTTACGCTTTTGTCCACATCCTTTTTGTCAATGTCTTTGGGTCTGTTGTCACAGTGTGTGCATGCAGGAGGAACATATAGGGTAAGAGAAATTAGACTGAAATAATTGTAAAAATAGATATATCTTTCAGTGAGAATAGAGTTTTGCCTCTGGAGATTATAGATGTGACAGCAAGAATGTTTATGCTAAGGATTTTCATAGGGTCTAGGAAGTAGTATTCCAGTCTTCAGAGGCTGCTGTGACTTAAACTTGCTGATACAAGTATTACTAAGACAGTAACATTTTTAAAGGATTGGTAATCTTAAAAATTTTGCTGCTTAAAGTGTTTTATTTGCTTCATCTTTTATTTGGCTTTGTGAAAATACCAGATTTTCTCTCGAAAATACCAGATAGATTTTATTTTTTTTTCCCCCCTCCACATTTATGACAAATTTGGTATAGATGTTTGAACTATGGCTAGGACAGTTGAGAAATTCTGCAATGTACAGTTCATTATAGTATTTTCTTTTAGTGAAATTTACCTGTGTTTCTGAGAGGTGGATGAGTAAGCGTTTGATAAATCCACAAGTTAGTTTTTACTAAGGTTAATAAACTTTGGATATATATCTGTTATAAATAAGGAAAGATAGGAATTGTTCTTCTTGTTTAATAACTTTCATCCTGTTTTAACCTTAGTAGATGATGGACTTTTTTTAGAAAATCTCTAATTTGTTGGTAACCTTTGCTCAGGAGCATTGTGGGATGAATGTGATTATTCAAATACTTAAACTACTTAAGTTCAAACTGAATGACAGAAATCAGATGATTATAGTAAATATTGATATCTGTAGTGTTAATGCTTTGTTGTGTCAAGCAATATATTCTGTCTTTTAGCTTTCAAATCTCAGAAATAAGACAATGTACAACTCTGGTATATTTTTTCTCAAAGTTTTTAAATGCCAAATGCCTTATATTTCTGTAAGTGACTTAAGGAGAAGTTCTGGACTAACTCTAGAAAACAAACCAATCATCTGATACGTAGGAAGTCCATGTGTGTTCATAAGTCTTCCCACCTGCAAAATTGTTGTTTTCATATGTGTTCTTTAATGTTATATCCTTCAGCAGTTGTAAGTCTTCTTCAATGAGTGTAACATTTTTAACAGAAGTGTCTAGTGACTTATGTTTGAAAAGAAGATCAAGTTCATAGAATCATAAAGATAATCTAGTTCCAACACTTCCTGCTATGGGCAGAGACACCTCCCACTAGACCAGGTTGCACAAGGCCCCATCCAACCTGGTCTCCAACGTTTCCAGTGGCGGAGCATTAAGTTGCGTACGTATAGTCAAGCAAGAAACAATGGCATAAGTTTAAAATTCCGTTGAGCATTTTTCTGAATATGTGTGATATACTTTTCCTTGTGCATGGAAAATTTGATGTGCTAAGAGTACATCTTCTAGACATACAACACATTATAAATAAAGAATGTATATTTTTCATTATTATAAATGCCTAAAATGAAGTATGCTAACTTTGAAAGTAGCAGTTGAGAAAAACAACGTATGTGGTCTGTCTCAGTTTTCTGTATGGTCTGCAGAGGTTAAAAATTTTACCTGCAGAAGGTAGATCTGGTGAAGTATTTGAGGAAAAAAGAAATGGAGCTCTATATTGCTGTTTCAGTTGCTAGAGCAATGATTTCCAAATTGCCAGCTTTGAGTGCATCTTAGTAACCAAAAACCATCTCTGACATCACAGTTGGAGAAGTAGCTGACAGTGGCTGTTCAGTGTGTGGGACGTTTAAGAGCCCTGAATGACAACTTAGCAAGTAGCAATTTTGGAGGTCATTCATTCTACTGTTAATCATGTCCACAATGAACATCATTCCTTTCTTTTAATTTTAAGTTTTCTGTCTCGCTGCCAAGTGATGTATCACTGTATGACACTTGATTGAATTACCTTTTGAAGTTTTTGCTATAATCTCCATGAGTGACTTGCTTATCTGTTTCTGTTTTTAAGTGAAAGCAGTCCTTAAAAAACGAGAGTATGGACCAAAATACACACAGAATAACTTCATCACTGGAGTCAGAGCAATGAATGAGTTTTGTCTTAAATCCAGGTATGATGGGTTTGAGTTGCAATTTAAATTCTAAGTATTCATTGATTTGTACGTGATTCAAAAGTAATTGCCATTGTAAAGTGGTTTTATACAGCAACTTTTTCTAAACGCTCTTGTGGTATATATAATCATAAGTGTCTGACTTTGTGCTTACTTAGTGCTTCAGTGGATTAGGAACTTGCACTTAGTTTGCGTGTTTCAACAGTTGCTTCTTAAATTTGTTTGTCCTTACACAACCCTAAATCTGTCTGCAGGAAGTCCACCTCTAGAGCATTTAGTTATAGGGGGAATGGCAAATAACTCTTGTCTCAGCGTTTTGGGTCATGAAGATTTGTCATGAACATCTCTGAAAGGCCAGTGGCAACTTCATGCTACGTGTGAGCTGTAATTTGGAATAAAATATGATCTGGCTCATTGTAATATAACTGGTGTTACTTGTCTCATATTTACTGCCTTTTACTATGTGCCAGGCCTGCTAACAGGTCTTACTGAGTATCACTATAGTTGAGGTGCCTGTCAAATTTCATGCATGTTATGTGTGTGACCCAAGTTAAATCAAAGGGCTTAGCAGCTTTGTTTATAACCTTTTATGCTGTCATTGTTCCTCCCCCGTTTTTACATATGGTGTATCCCACCAGACTTGGTCTTTGCTGACAATCCAGTGACAAGTTATGCTGCTGTATTTTTGTCATAACTGGCTTGTTGTGCAGAGAACTAGCTAGCTAAGATTTTGCTGGGTTGACAAAAATGGGAACAAAAACCAAATTACACCACCCTCTCACCCCACCAAAAAAAAGAGAAAAGGAAAAAAAAGACAAAGATAATAGAACTTAGATGATTGGGCTAAAAATGAAATGTTCTGTTGTATTTAAAAAAAAAAATAAATCCTGGATGCTTCTCCATGTAGATGCCCTAGTGTGTAGCTCAGCACAGGAAGTTCTGTTCCCCAGGTAGTTTTGTGATCTTCAGCCTTTTGCAGTTTCTGCTGGGTGCATAGTTTTTGAGGTTAAATTTCTTAACTTTTCATGTCATGTGACTTCTGATTTCCATTTAGAGATGTTAAGCCATGAACTGTCTTGTTTAGTTTACTGCTTGTGCGTATGATCGGTTACATGCAGGTCTTTCATTGGATGTTTTTATTATTGAATGTTCTATTGCTTTGTCTTCCATGTATAGTATTTCTTAGTGTAAGGACATGATTTGGACTTCTGAGTGTGGAAAACACTGTGCTTTTCAATAGCATCCTAGGGATGCATGCTTGCTTCATGCTGCGTGTCTGTTGTCTTTGGTTCAAGTAAACAACTTAAGGTTTTTTTTGAACTGGAAATGAATAATACCAAAATTAGAATAATGGAAATAACTGAACTTTCACTAAACTGTTTGTCTACTTTCCTTAGTGATTTAGACCAGCTGAGGAAGATTAAACGACGAAGCCCCCATGATGACACCGAGACTTTCACTGTGTACCTGAGATCGGACGTAGAGGCGAAGTAAGAACATTTTTATGAAGGAAGATATTTGGATCGTTTAAATTGGATTATATGAGGGAGAGAAAAAACATCTAAAACGCACGTTTACAATGTGAAAGTGCAATGATGTTTTCCCTTTTCTATCTCAACACATTTTATGTCCTCATTATTGTAATAATTACATGGTGTATATAAAATTGGAGGATAAGTTTCATGTGTCCAAAGATGTAAGTGCTCATTTTCAGCCCCCTCTTTCCCAGCTTTTTATTCTGTAAAGTAGTTTGTGTGGCTTCTTATTAGAAAGTATGATGTGATTTTCTGCTTTTGGGAAGGGCATTTGTCATGTAGTCAAACTGAAAGGAAGTTGCATGAATGGAACCATTGTTAATTTACTTTTACTCTGTGCAGGTCTCTTGAAGTTTGGGGTAGTCCAGAAGCTCTTGCTAGAGAGAGAAAACGACGTAAAGAAGCAGAGATCAAATACAGAGAAAGTGAGTACAGAGTTTTCAAATAACTTCAAATGTAAAAAAACAAAGTGCAATTGTTTGGATACCACTAGATGGTGTGTTACTTCATTGGGAACATGCAAATCTGGAATTAGTAATTACTGATAAGGTTTTATAGCGTAGTATTAGAGTAACACATTACTGTCTATGCAGATATAGTCTGTTATTATCTTACAATTTGTGACCTCTGTGATACAGCAAGAATGTGCATTCAGCTGAGATCTGTTGTCATACTTTGTTTTTTGGGGGGCTTTCAATTTTTTAATTATAATTAATGTCTTAAAAGATTGTATGTTTTTTTTTTTATTGAGAATTTTGAAAAACTTAAAACCAATTTATTTTATTTAATCCAGCTGTTACTTGTTTGTGTTACCTTTGTGCTTCAGAAGAGTGGGAAACAATCCCAGATCATCACTTTGCTTAAAATTATTGTTGTCATCCTAGATGGTATTGTCAGTAACAGGTATAGTCAAATCACTAGTTTGTAGTGGATTTTGATCTGTGTAGTTTGTTAAAATCACAGGAGAGGCAGTATTGCTTCAAGGTTCTTAGTCCAATTATGCATCTTAAAATTAGAGGTCCTTTCAGATTTTTTAGGAACAGTTGTGCCACTGGAATGCCCTCCTAGTTCAAAAAGCTATAGGTGCAGGCACTTGTTAAGGGACTCTACTAGCTGTTTTAATTTAAATTATTGTGTACAATGTATTTTGTGTCTTCCTAGAGAGAATCTAGCACTGCAGCTTCCAGATACTGTAGTATAGCAATGTTTATTTTGAAGTTACTGAATATTATTAGTGGATGGGAAAATACTGATGTGAAGAGATTTGCTTTGAAACATCGTTTCCCCTCCTCCTTTGTAGTTAAGAGATGAGGGAGGGGCAGTAGAGTGCCTGGGTTTGGATTTGGTGCAGTGTCGTTTGATTTTGCTTGTTTTCATTCCCCCCACCCCATATCATCCTTTTTTGGTAGAAATGGCAGTGATATGTTGGATCACAACAGATTGTATTTGGCGTTTTGCATGAGTATATAACAATGTGTGTTTCTGGTTAATGATACCAGGAGTGGAGTTTTTCCACAAAGATGGACTATGTAGTTCATACTAGAAGTTGGCTTCTGCATAACAGAAGTAAAACTTCAGTTACTGAAACTACTGGTTACTAGTATGTATTGATGGTAACAATTTTGTATTGCAGATCTGTTTAGAAACCAAAGACTTTTGAAGGAATACAGGGAGTTCTTTGGAAATACAAAGGTAAGAGATGTTTTAAAGTGTTTGGCTAGAAAAGTACCACAAGATGTATTATGACACCTTTTGAAGGAAAAAGTTGTGGAACAGTTGCATAAGCTTGACTAAATGTTATTGGAAGATTTATTCACACTCTGATACACTGGATCTGTCTGATGGTAATGAAGTGGTAAATGTTATGATATCAGTTTAAATGGGTTCCTACTGTGGCAGTGTAATGCTTCAGTAGGATTGTTTTTTTTAGTCAGTTGCCTTCTTATTAACAGCACTGCAGCTGTATTTATGATTTTTTTTTATCTGTAGCCTATAAACATGTATGTTAAATATCATGTTAATTTAAAGAAGTGAAATAGGTTTAAGGGAGAAAAAATCAAACTAAACATTAACACTTTTCTGTATACCCTAGTGATGCTTCCTCTTTGCTTAAGCAGACCTATTCTTTAGATCCAGGTGCTCTGCTATAGCAGAATGATTTCTTAAACTTTCTGCTGCACAGCTGGCTCCTGTCCTTATGGCTGCAGTGGCCCCTGCTGGAGGCTTTGTTGGTTGTTTATCCTTTTTCTAGCCATGCATTGGTAGAAATGTGTAAGACCGACAGAATCATAGAATCTTAGTCACTATGGTTGGAAAGGACCTCTAGGATTATCAAGTCCAGCCTTCACCCCAACATTTCCCTAACCACTAGACCACAGCCTCAAGTGCTACTTGTTTATTGAACACCTCCTTGTTATTTGAACGCCTCCAGGCATGCTGACTCCACCACCTTCCTGGGCAGCCTGTTCCAGTGCCTAACCCCTCTCTTAGTGAAGAATTTCTTCTTAATATTCAATCGAAACCTCCCCTGGTGCAACTTGAGGCCATTTCCTCTCGTTCTATGATTAGTAATTTGGCAGAAGAGACCAACACCAGCCTCACTACAACCTCCTTTAGGTAGTTGTAGAGAGCAATAAGGTCTCCTCTCAGTCACCTCTTCTCCAGACTAAGCAACCCCAGTTCCCTCAGCTGGTCTTCATAAGGCCTGTTTTCCAGCCCTCTCACCAGCCTCGTTGCCCTTCTCTGGAGCTGCTCCAGCACCTCCATGTCCTTCTTATACCATGGTTCCCAAAACTGGACACAGGACTCAAGGTGTGGTCTCACCAGCGCCGAGTCCAGGGGCACGATCACCTCCCTACTCCTGCTGAGCACAATATTTCTGATCCAGGCCAGGATGCCATTGGCATTCTTGGCCACCTGGGCACGCTGCTGGCTCATGTTCAGCCGGCTCTCCACCAACACTTCCAGGTTCTTTTCTGCCAGGCAGCTTTCCATCCAATTCTCCCCAGGCCTGGAGTGTTGCCTCAGGTTGTTGTGCCTCAAGTGCAGGACCCAGCACTTGGCCTTGTTAAACCTCATCCAGCTGACCTCAGCCCATTGCTCCAGCCTGTCCAGATCCCTCTGCAGAGCCTTCCTTCCCTCAAGCAGTTCGACACTCCCTCGTGATTTTGTGTCACCTGCAAATTTACTGAGGGTGCATTTGATCCCCTCATCCAGGTCATTGATAAAGATATTAAACAAGGCTGGGCCCAAAACCGAGCCCTGAGGGACGCTGCTCATAACTGGACGCCAATGGGATTTAACTCCACTCACCACAACTCTCTGGGCTCGGCCATCCAGCCAGTTTTTAACCCAGCCAAGAGTCTACCTGTCTAGGCCACGAGCCACCAGCTTCTCCAGCAGAATGCTGTGGGAAACGGTGTCAAATGCCGTACTGAAGTCCAGGTAGACGACATACAACTGCAGTTTGGTGAGCACTCAGTAGTAAATTAGTAGGCTTCAAGAACTGTAGCTTCATTTTTGCAATACAGAGATTTTATTTAATTATTTGTATAGTAGGGCCTTCATGAGGTCAAAGTCTGGTTATTTTAATAATCTCTTATTTCTTTGTGTAGCCACGCTCCAGTGCAGCAGCTATGTTTTTCAAGGGACCAGGGAAGGTGGTAATGGTAGCTATTTGCATGTAAGTTTTAAAAAAATAAGTATTTTGTTTATGTAAGTTTAAAACTATTTTTATTATCTTGGAAATGAGAACAGTCTGTGTATTCAAGCTAAAGATACCTGTGTCTCTGTAACTGAAGTTAATAACTTTGTGCATTGTTGATGGGAAAGGGTTTAGGTAAATGCATTCATCAATCTGTTGAGGTCAGGGATAGAATTTCTCTGATCAGAGTAGAGTAAGCTTCTTGGAGGTGATCTGAAGAAACAGTTTTTTAAAGTAAAACATAAAATTTTGAAGGACATGGAGAGACCAGAATTTAAACTTGTCCTTTTTTTTGTGCTCTTTCTTGAGACGAAGCTTTTCTTATATTCTAAACAGTCTTCCACATAACCAACAGAAAAAACTCTCTATTTCTGCTCTTTTCCTCCCACTGTAATTTATATCCTTTTTATTATCCTAAAGTTGTGTTACGCTGTGAGTTGGAAGAAACTGTAATTAACACTGGGAGTTTAAATTATGGTTTAGTGTTAGAACAGCCTTCTTTTCTTCTTGGGTTATCAACTAACTTATTTTTTTACTTCCCACTTGTAAATTATGGTGATGTTTCACTATCTCATGATGTAATGAGACTAAATTAAAAATTGTAAAGCATGTTCTAGTCCTTGGATGGAAGGAGGTGTAGAAAAGTGCTTTCCCAGGCTTCAAAATATGGATGTACTCTCACAGAATTCTTTAAGGATGACCTTGGAAATGAATGTTATTTAATCACCTATATAATTTGGTGTATAATATAATAACCTATATAATCTGGCAAGAGGCTGGACTTGTGCTTTCTCTAGCTTAAGTATAGTTTCTTGGTATGTGGTTGTTCAAAAATGCAACTACAAGAGGTTAATAATACTTGCAACACTTAATTTCGTTTGAAGACTTAAAAATTGCCAATAAGCTAAACTCAAATATTTTTAAAAAGGTAGAGGAGAAAGTTGCTATCCTCTAGTCTGATTTTCTTTGCAGTGGGATTACAACATCCCGATTCAGATAATTAATGCTTGAAGTGAGAATGTAGACTTGGATTTTAGTGTTCCTAGTTACCTTTCTCTGTACAACATGACACAGTGCTTACTCCAGTGAGCTTGTAACCTAAAAAAGGCTTGACATGTCACACTGGACATTTCAGTGGAAGCATTCCATAGATAATTTTTACAGTGTGATCTACTGTCAGCCTTGTCTTCCTGTTTGTTGTCTTACGTTTGTACCCTACTGAGAATTGCCCAAGCTGAGTCTGCAGTGGGGTGCCGTGCACTTAAAATTAGGAGGGGATGTGTAAGAGGCAAAGGACTGAAGAAAGAGAAAAGGAAATCATTAAGGCTTGTATTCTCCCACTGGTACGCAATTAGTTGTTCTGAGTAGCGAATGTGATGGTAGATTTCAGGAAATGTAACCTGTTCAGGACTGCTTAGAAGTTTATGATTTTTGAAGAATAAATTGCATATCTTTACATATCGAGGGTAGCTGAAAGGACTTTTTAACAGAATCCATGCAGAAAAATCTGTATGCCTCATCTGCCTGTGCAGGTCTCTAATGTTTAAGCTGATACTTTGTTTTAGCACTTGCTGACAGGTACTGAATGATTATACAGCACTTGTGGTTTTGCCGAAAATAAAAGACCAAATATGCTGTTGTTCTTTAGCTTTCTTCTCTTTGTTTTCAGAAATGGGTTGAATTTTTTCTTCAAGCTACTTGCTTGGGTTTACACAGGGTCTGCAAGTATGTTTTCAGAAGCCATTCATTCTTTAGCAGACACATGTAACCAGGTGAGTATTTTTTGCATTCTCCCTAAGTTAACACTCATAGTAATTTTTCAGGAATAAAGACAGATACATGTAGTAGATGTATTACACATGCAAGTAGTAATTCAATCTACTAGTGCTCTTTAGTTTGCCTGTCCTAAGTAAACAGTAACTATACCCAGTAAACACCAGAGAAAGGAGAACAGTATATTATTTAGGAGGAGCAGAGCTCATGGCAAAATAATACTTTGGTTTTCTTTACAAACTTTGCTTCGCCATGGATAACATGGGCATTGTAGAGAAGTACAGACATTCCAAGTTTATTAGCCGTGACCCTTAATAACAGTGACTGTCAGATTCTGTTGTGGTGTGTATTTACAGTGCTCTTCCTGTTCAATACCTGCGATCATTTTTGTACCATTTTGTATGATTTACATGCTTCTTAGGAGGAATAGTAATATATTCTAGGAGGAAAAAAGCTAGTACTGAATTTAATGATCATTTAAATCATTCGAGGCAAAAGAATCTTAAATATGTTTAAGTAAACAGTTTCATTAGGGAGAGTGTGTTTTTGTTTTTTTTTTTATTTTATTATTAAATAATTTCTGGTTTCAGTCGTGCAGATTACAAAGCCTGCCCAGAGTGTGACAAACTTTGTGCACATGTGGAGGAAAATGTGCTGTTTTCTATCTGTGTGTAGTATATGGGTATATTTTTTTTTTTTTTTTTTTAGCTTCCTGGTTACAAAAGTGAATCTTACTTACAAAGTAATGTAATTGTTATACAGAGTTTTTTTATCAGATTGTAGGCAGATGAAGGCATATTTTTGTCAGAAATTCACATTACTTTAGAAATACTGCCAAGCCCAGAGCTCTTTCTTCTGTTCCTCAATCCATGTGCAAAGCTGTTGTTACTCTGTTGCAAATTTACTTGCCAAAACTAGGGGTTTCAACTAGTAGTTTCTACTGGTTTACATAGCTGCTATTTTTTTACATTGATGCCAGTAATTTGATGGAGGGTTTATAAGCTAACAGTAAAATAACTGATCCAGTCTATAAGCTTTAAATGCAGAAGGAATCTGGAAAGACTCACCTGTAATTGTAAATAAAATCTGTTTGAATGTTGTTTGGACTAGTGTTTCTGCTAGTATAATGCTGTTTGTAATATATCTACATTATTTCAACTGCCTGCTCCAATTACTTATTTTCTAAACTATTGCTTTTTCAAATAATTGATTGTTCTGCTTAATTTTGTCTGTCACCATGCATATGCATAATGTGACCAGCCTTCTCTTAAGGAAGTGGTGTCAGAACAAAATCTCAGTAGTTTGAGTTACATCCTCATGCCTCTCTGCCTGCTGGTCTGTGCCTCCCAGGCAAGAATGATGTATCACTCATCTTAAAGTATTATTGAGTGCCTGTCCATATAATGAAAAAAAATTAAAATAGGGGGGTTTTTAATTTGTATTGGTGTAAGAATAAGGCAAGTCAGATTCTGAAAGTTTTTTTTTTTTAGAAA